TTTGCTTATTGTTTTAGTCCCAGTTTTTGAAAAGGATTTTGCCCTTCTCTATTTCTGCGAATCTGTTTCCCCCTATCCAGGTTCTCTCAAATTTCCTTAGACTCTCTTCTCTCTTTTCAGGTTGGATCATTTTTTGTTGTGCTTTTTGCTCTCTGATCCATTGGGCTCTAATTTCTGTACGTGCTATGTGCTTGATTTCAGTCCATTTTTCTTCGAAGCTGATGTTTTGACCTGCTATGGTGCCCTTGCACCTCGCTTTCCAGATTACCCATAGGGTTGCCCTTCTCAGTAGGTCCGCCAGCGCTACGTCCCCCTCTTCGAGATCCCCCTCTTCTCTCCTTCCTGACAGTAAATAAACCGTGTTTGAGGGGTAAGCCTGCTCTGTTAAGTTTACCCATAACTCTCTGATTCTGTTCCAAAGTGCCTGAGCCCCTTGACATTGTATCAGGCAATGTGTTAGTGTCTCTTCAATCTCCTCGTTGCACATCTTACAGTTGACGTCTTGTTGCTGAGGATCCGTTTGCCTTTTTCTTCTTCCCAGCCATTGGTTGACTGGGACTGCCCAGTACAAAATCAGCCATTGTAGACTTCTGATTCTTGTTGGTCTTATATTGTCGTATTCATTCCAAGGGATTTTGCTTGCCCATTCCGCATTTTCACCCAGATTCTTTTTCCATCTTTCTGATATAACTAGTTGCGGGTCTTTTGTTTGGTTGATTTGTCTATATCCCTCTTTGACTTCATAGTCGTAGATTGCTGTGAGTTTTCTTGCTCCCCTTTTGTTATTCGGGATCAGCCATCCCCACTCTGGGTCAACTTCCAAATCTTTTATGTCCTGTTCCGGCCTATAAATCCAAGTTATCTTCTGGCTTTGTTCGTTGTTTAGGGACCTTTGCGGCCTATCTTAGGTGAACATGTTCTGACTTTGTTGAGATTTTTTAATTCAATTATTGTCCTTTGTTCGATTATTTTGCCTGGTTTGGCCCAGGTTTTGTGCGTATCTGTTAATTCAAAGGAAACGAACTCCGCCTTGTTTTCATCTGTGTCCAGCAATTTGACCAGTTTGAACCCCTCGGTCGGAGGATCTGTTTGTTTTTTTGTTGCCCAGTCCCCTACTGACCATTTGCTTTTGGATTTTAGTAGTGGTTCCCATTTCAGCAGGATGCTTTCTAATATGGATTCCAGCTGTTCCTCCAATCTGTGTACCCCTTTGAGTCTGGGTCTGAGTTCCTGCAATGTGATCCATCTATTTTCTCGTGAAATCCATAGATGTTCCACCTTCCAAATTCCGTTGCTCAACCATTTTCTCCATTTCCTTCCTTTGGAGTTTAAAGACCATGGCCTGTTATTCTGATCCGTTAGAAGGGGATTCCCAAACAGGGGCTGTCTTAACACTTCTTCCCTGATCTGGGGTGTTCTCACTTTCTGGGGAAAGCACACTCTCCCATGCGTTATTAGGGTGATCCAGTGTTCGCTCGGCGGATCCTTCGTTTCTGCCTGTCCACTTTTTTCTTTCCGTCTGGGAGTCCATGTCGGGTTTAGAATCCAATGATAACCTTCTATTGATGGGTCTACCTGAAACGGGACCAGGTTGCGGATTTGATGGAGGGCCATATTGTGCCACGGTAGTTCCTTGTTAAACAGGAGTTTAACTATCCACTTTATTTGAAGTGCTTGGAATTGCGCTTTCGGGTTCAAAATTCCTAGCCCTCCTAAAGTCTTGGGTCTGGTGATGTATTTCCATGCTACTTTGGATATGTAGTGTTCTTTGTCCGCTTTCCCTGTCCAGAGATAGGACCCTATTTTTTTCTCGAGTCTTGTGAAGAAGTTTGCTGGAGGGGCACATTTTGTTTTGATCCCGTCCTTTAACCAATTTCCCTTCCTTCAACCAATTTCATATTCCCCTGGAGTGACCCACGATGTTGCACTCTTGACCTCCCGTTTGCTGATTGAATCATGAAGCTGACCCATCTTTGATTACCCCAATGAACCTGACGCAGGAGATCCCAGTTCTGACCTGAGACTCCACCGCAATTCCTAAAATCCCTGGCACGCCACTTCTCACACTTTCTGGGCCCACTAGACTATAATGTCACTACATGCATGATTCTGTTATTGTCGGCTTCTCATGGGTTTGGGTTCAGTACAGAACCGTTGGCCAAAGTTATTACCATGTAAAGAGTCTTGGCCTATTATACACACCTCCCTCTAGGGTTTTACTGCTAAACCACCAGTACATCCGAGCCTCTTTTTGGCGAGGTGGACTCCCCCTGTGCGCCAAGCTTTGCCAAAACGCCAGTGCGGCGATTTTTCTTCTCCTTTGGCTGACGCCAGCAACCATTTTGGTCCGGCAGCTCCAAGCCTGCAAACTTTTCAGAATGACTCTTTTTCGATTCTCAAGTTTCCCTGGCTTCGGTCAACGCGCCATCAGTAATCCAGGGTTTAGGGTTTTAGCCTCAGACATTATTTTCAAAGAAAATCGCTCCAAAGGAAACCGGAATTAGAGCAAAGAGGTCCGTCACACCTTCCGTACGGAAAAACAGAGTCACGCCATAGGCTCAATTGACAGTGAGGAGCAGACAGAAAAAAGACCGGATAGTTCCAGCAAAGTCAAGTAGCTATCACTCATAGCTTCAAAGGAAAAAACAGCCTAGAATAGGCTAACTTAAGCAAGGGTGAAGATCGGTACATCCTCCTTCAAGGAAGTAATCAATGCCGTCTTCTGTGCCTCCACGCCATAAGGGGGAGGAGCGTGAGTGAGTAACCTTTGTACTATCTTGGACTTGCCGGGGGAATAGGAACCGGACTGATGCTCCCCAGAATGGAAAAGGATCCAGAACCATAAGGTTTTGTTTATAAAAAAAAAAAAAAAAGTTTCCCTGGCCGTTGTACTGGTGGTTTAAATACCCCCATTTTCTCAATGTTTTGGTACTTACCATCCATCTGGAGTCCCCCTACCACACCAGAGAAAGAGATGGAGAGGGAAACAGCACCATATCTCAGAGAGGATCCCACTACCTTTCAGGCTGGGAGGCTAAGTCGTAAAAGTAACCTACACTGCATTTTTCGGGCCGCTGTTGATGAATTTCATCGCGGCACCCGGCCTCTGAAATTTGAATTGCGAGGACCGCGGCCGATATGCGGGAAAGGTAGTGGTCCTTTAAGGCTCTCTCTCCCCATGCATCCTCTTGAAGGTCAGTCCCAATGGAGATGGAAGTGCTCTTGAACAAGGTGTGCATCTTTTCTCCCTCCAAGCTCCTCCCGTGATGAGTGCCGACTGCCCAAGCACTAGCTTCTGCTCTCTTGCATTGCAGGTGCCCTTCTTGGTCATCTCTCTCTCTCTCTCTCTCTCTCTCTCTCTCTCTCTCTCTCTCTCTCTCTCTCTCTCTCTCTCTCTCT